AATTGAGAATTTAAAGTCTGGTCTTTAAAGATGATCCAAAATGGTGTTTTTCTGAGAAAACAGAAAAATCTCTTCTCGCCGATGCGGGCTTGGGAAAATTTTTGGAAGTAACTATCTGATAGAACTTTTTGCGGTCTTTCTAATGGCCGTCTCAATTTTAGACTCTGAGGAAGATTTTTGAGAAAAATCATTTTTTTCCTCAGAAAGTTGGAACTTTTACACATCCTCGCTTCTTCTTTTATAACTCTAAGAATTTCTACTGCAAGAAAATTGGTGACACATGTTTTTGTAGAGAATTAAATGGCGCATCGTTTAAAAAAAGTTCGAGTAGATTGCACAAAAAATGATGGAGTTATCGCAAAAACAAAAAAGGGCCATTTTACCTGGGACACCCGATATTTCAGCTAAAAGCTTGAATTTTTTTTACTAAATTTTGTGATTTTAAAACCTTCTGAATTTCGGGTAAATTTAAAGAAGACAGAACCTGTAACTGCTCTACCCGTACCCGACAACTTGGTACCGGTACCTAACCTTCGGGTCGGATCGGGTTGCACATCTGTAATCTCCACCACCTCCTTCTATGGAAAGAGCTGAATAAAGAAAAGTATCACTTTTTTCGACAAAATATTTATATTTCATGTTGAATAGAAGATATATAATCAGGGCCGGCTGAAGGCGTGTTCAGGGCGTGCCCAACACACAGGCGCGAAGACTCGAAAGGTGCCTCGTTATTCATATAAAAGCACCTTTCAACAGAAGCTTTAAAAAAATTAAAATTTTTTGATATAAAAAGGCGCAAAAACATTTTTGACACACACTTGAAAATTGGCTTGAGCCGGCCCTGTATATAATCAGACTGACTCAGTCTTTTAGTGCTTCATTGGCTCCACTTCTGACCGGGATATACCTGTTTGTCGGCTTATTAAGTTTCTAATTGAGAATTTAAAGTCTGGTCTTTAAAGATGATCCAGAGAATCAATCGAGATCTGATTGTAGAGTTCATCCAGTTGCTTTTCTGAAAAAATTTTTAAAACTACGAAACAAGTTTTAATTGAGTTAGAAAAAATTTATTTTTGGCGAGGAGTACTACCAAAAGTTTCGAAAAAAATTTTGAAACTAATATTATTTTCCTATGAAAATTTGTTTTTCGCTACTTTACTCGAGAAAATTTCCTAAACTTTTAATAATACCCCTCGTCGGAAATAAAAAATCTTCTGGATTATCGCATGTGTTGAATAAGAAAAAGCATTTTTTTCTTTTGCGACTCTGCATGAACTGTATTTTCCTGTCGATGATACGCCATCTGTTACTTTTATACTTGAAAGAGAAAGCGCGAATTAGTTTATTCCATTTCTCGTTATATTAGTCACAGAAACACATAATGGTTCTCAAACATAAATCTTTTAAAAAACCAGCTTACATCAGTCTTATGACCCAATGGGCACAGTTTTGTACCTATTAACCACAAAAGGAGTGCGATCTCATCAATGGTCTATAGAGCAATAAAAATCTGCTCACCCCATGAATTAGTTTGCATAGAGAATTAGTAATTATTAATAACTTTCCAAAAGCATGTTGGCCAAAAGATCGTATTTTAACTACTAATGATTCACATCTTCTACTCTTGATGCAAAAAACCGGAACTTTTCTGACATATATTATTTCTTTTCTTTTTTTCATGAGAAAATAACAAAAAAATTTTATAACAGATATATATTTTAATGAGATAATAACTGACAAAGCTTGAATTGATAATTGACAAACCGGCACCAGAAGTTTTGTAAAATCGCGAGATGTAATGAAATAAGTTATAGAATAAGAATTAACATTTACCATTTGAACAGGAGGACAACAACTTTAGTGCTAGCCAAAAATATAAAAACTGGAAGAAATTTGAAACCTAAATCAACTCTTGCTCTTCCTGCGTACCAAATTTCTTGACGCTGAGAAAATCCTACTTAAAAACATAGGTTATGAGATTATCAACTATCTCCAACTCGATTTCATCATACATAAAATATCTACTTGATATTTTCTTTGTTAAGTTGTTTAACTGGTATTTTCCTAGATGCCTAAATAATCCAGAGGTGTCTTAAACTTATTGGAATGTAAGTTAACTATCATGAAGGGACAAACATATCTTTCGTTACCACTGTGATACACGCATATCCATATCCAGATATGTGCGTTGGTGAAAATGTTCGACGGCGGCGTTTGAATTTGGCTTAGTCGGCAAGCGTTGAAAAAAATTTCGAAATTGGTGGCGAAAATGTTTTTCTTCGTCAAAGCTATTATTATTAGTTGTTGTCATCTGTCCAACCATCAGTCGTAACTTACGAGAAAATAATGATTACGATTAGCTTAAGACTGCAGTGCGCTGGAGGGAACAGCAGAAAAGATGAAAATGGGGTTTGCAATTTCAATACACGGGGCGTCTTTTGGATTCTGTTAAAACTTGATTATTTCAGACCGTGGTGACGGCGTCGAAAAAAACTTTTTCTCCGCGACGATCGGCGTTTCGCCGGTGCACATGTCCGTCCATACCACCATTATTATTGAGCAGACTATTTAACTCGTAACATCTAAATATCAGGATGGTTGCTCTCCAACATCGATTGAAAAATGTGTAAATAAATGATACAAAGTGATATTTAATATTTTATACTTGACATTATTTACACCATCTAAATCAATACGAATATGTGCCGTTCTTAATACTTTTAAACGTGCTGGATTTAGTTTTTGATGTAAATGTTTTAACATTTTATATCGAGCGATGAATGCTGGTGGACGTTCTAATTTCAATTGTTTATTAACGATACGAGAATACATATCTGAAATTATATGACAATGATTAGATTTAAAACGTGATTAAGATAAGAATACTAACCATCATCCTCACCACCCCAGCCCCAATAGTTTGTCGAATAGCCATTTACTAGTAGATAGTGTTCACGTCGTAACGCTAAAAGAAAAATTTTCGTATTATTTTACTGTAATAATATTCACTCTACAAGTAAGTTTTTTTCGCTCAAACTTCTATCCTTGCATATATAGTGTTCATAAAAGTTGAAAACATGTATACCGAGTACACCGCCGACTAATGATGAATATGGAAGATAAAATTGAAATTTATCAATAGCCACTGATAAATGTCTTGGATTCATGGGACATGTGTACATATTTCGATCATCAATTAGTAACAAATCAACATCATGAAAGATAAAACATTGTGTATTTGGTTCAATTAATAAGATTTCTTTAAAACATGCATTCATCACAATTCCCTTATTAAATGTTTTATTAAACGCTTGTTCACAAACATAAATTCGATAATCAATTTGTTGACGTTGTAATAGTGCATGTGTATGATAGAGAAAATGTTCAAGAATATCTAATCGATTACGATATGGTACAATAATACCGACTTTATGTCGAGCTAAACAATTTGTTGGTTTACCTGAACCACCATATTGAACATGAGGATGATAGGTAGAATTAATATTTGATAATATCGTAAAATTTTTTGGTGGATCAATAATTGGTATTGGCCCTTGGAGATCTGGAGGAATCGGTGGACAATAATTTTTTGATATAGTAGATTTATTTCTTATATGATTAATAAATGAACCAACTACATTACGATAAGCAATGTCAAATGGATCACTAACATTACTTGACTGTTGAGGTAAACGTCGATTGTACGTGAATGTAACTTGATTATGTTTCTTGAGCATTTCACTATTTTTCGATTGAACAATATTATTTTTGTCATGAACTGCCATACTACGACGAACAATAAAGACGATATTGAAGATACTTGTAATAATCATAAATAACGTACATAATAAACATAATACACATGTTTTATCTTGACGATATGTCCCTAACATTACTTGTTCAGTTTCAACATAATGAGATTAAAATCTAGATAAATATGAAATCAATCATTATTCTCTTTTTTCATTGTTCAATTTATTATCTACTATTGTCTTGTTGAAGTAGAATAGTTTGAGCTAGATATCATAGTTTTATGTAGTGTCCTCTACACTTCTGTGAAATGAAACAAACCATTCATTTATAAAAGAGACTTATTGCAAATAAATAGGCAAATAAATTTTTTACTTGAAAAGAACAAGGAGACTATTTTGAGATGTATTCTTTTCTAAAAAATACATTTCTTTTTCCATAGTATACTGTTTGAACCAAACACGCAATCAGTTATTTATTTAGAAATATTGTAAAACAAAGTCTTTTCTTTAAAGGAAAACCTAATGTAGCTGCGCGCGACTTCGTGGAAGACAGTTATAAACATTCTTGTAATTCATAAAAATATACGATGCGTTTTTCTTGTTGACTAGATTAAAAGTTGCTATAGTTCACTGCATTTTTCTCATAGGCAGTGCAATGTATCCTGACACGTCCTTTTTTTTTGAAAGCCAAGGAATAATTGAATTATCTGCTATGCAAGAAGTGAATTTCGTTTCAGAGAAAATTGTGAATTAACGTCAGTGTATATAATTGACTATTAAAAATTGCTCATGTCGACTTTTAGATTAAGATCGCTCGATCAGTTCCAAATAAATCTAAACTTTAGATCTATTGCCAATTTGAGAATGGAAAATCATACTGTATAGCTTCACGAATAAGGTAATATTTTGTACTGAAGGTTTTCATGACAGCTTTTCCAAGTAATGGACTTCTATCCATGAAAAAGTATACATCTGATTTCTTACCCTGAAACAGTATTTTTTACTATATAAATACTGGTATATTAGAAGAGAAGCTATAAGGCTAATCCTCTCTCTTGCACAAGTAAAATGACAGTAATTACTTACATTCGAAAAATTATTATTAAAGTTTTTTTGCTAATCTGTATAGCCTATTATAGAAAAAAGTCTATATGAATCAGTACACAAAAAAAAGGGAATCAAATTTTAGACTCCAGTATACACCATGAAAAAGTAGAAACAAAATTGCCGGAGGTCTCTCAAAACTATCACGAAACAACTAGCTCTAGCAAAAGAATATTCATTTTTATATGATGTGTTAAAGAGGGAAAAAACTTAATCATAAGGGAGGAAAGACACATCCGGCTATAATAATTAGAGTTTAACGACAATTGAACATCTAATCTAATTTATTAGATTTTCTGATGCAAACATGTTCAGAAAAATAAATAGTCATTTTATTATGGCTTCTGCAGTATTTTCTGGGAGAATTTTGTATTCTGTCTAACGCTTATACAAGTTCTCATTAGTTCTCATTTAGCCTAAGTATACAAGTTAAACTGCACAGGTTACCTATGTAAAACATTTTGAAAAAAACATTTTAGGGACATCGGTATTTCTAATTTCTATTTACATCACGTTCACTTTTAATCATAGTTTTTTTCTACAATAATCTATCTGAATGAATCTTGTTGGATTTAATGTTTATTGATGAAGACACTGTGCTTTTTATTCTAAAATATTTAAAAAATTCAACTGTGTCACCTTTTGACCGCAAAAAAATATCTCAACCTTAACCTATAAAAATCTTTTCTAATTCTAATTCAAGTATAGATTAAGTTGGGTTAGGCTTAACCCGCATAATTCTAACACCGATCTTCTGAGGCTGCCGTATAACACTTTCTCCCGTTCTTTTATACATTATTTTAGGTAAAAAATTCAATTTACTTTTATTAGAGAAAATATAGTCATTATAATTACAGACTAATATTTATATATTATTCGAGACAAACTGTGCTATAATTACACTAATGAGATGATACTGTGATTTTAAAAAACATACATAATAACGGTTACATCAGCTTTTACCTTTTGTTTTTTTCTATGTATTGCGGTGCTATGAGATCGTTCTATTTTTAAATTGCATTAGACTTGATATTGTCTGTATAAATAGCTACAGATAAAAAAAAGTTCGAACTCTTACCAAGGTGAACAGAAAGGAAAACGTACACGTGCATGTTCTAGTGACTTTGACTATCAAAATAGCTTTTTTTTGTATTACTAATCAACATTGTTTGAAGCATATCATTATCACTCAGCTGTGGAAAAGAGAATAGAAAAAACAGATACTATTATGGACGTACAGCGGCTATCATCATACATTAGCTCACTATATAGCATGAGTGCTCAGCTTCCAGTATATCATGTTGTCTAAAAGCTTTTGTATCCATTGTCCTTAAATAATTGAATTCCACTAGATACGTGCTATACTTTAAGAAGTCTTTGACCACAGATATTGAACAATATTGAATATAAGTAGAACCGAAGTGAATTTTTTCTCGTAAAATATATTCACAATGTTATGATCTTTGCAACAAAAAAGATATCTGATCGTGCGCTTTTTTGGAACATTAAGGCTTTTGCGAATACGAAAAATATAAAGTAAAGAGATTCGAAATTATAAAAAGTTCCTATATGCATTGTTCCGACGATCTGAATTCATCAGAGCCGATGTAAGACTTCATACAACTCATTGATCTCTGGCCACATTCAGTTGAATCGAATACAGATGTATCGGAATCTTACTCTTTGTCGAATTTGTCTGAGGTCGAAACCGGCCACACCTGACCTCTGTCGAAACTTGTTGGTTTTGACTCTCTGTAATCAGCTCTTTATTTTCTAATAAAAAAAAGTTATCGTATGTAGAAGAGAAAGTAAAAAAATGCAGAGTAAACTAAAAAAATGGCTGATAGTAAAAGCGCTTTCGACCAGTGAGCACAAATTTTCATTCAGTCCACCCAGTCACGAAAATATTTGAGATTGAAAGGATACCATTAAATTCTCGTCGAACTGACTATCGGTATTCATGGAGAATTGAATATATTCGAGTCGAACTCATACCCTAGTAAAAATCTTAGACACTTTTTATAATTATCTTAGTAAGATCTTGTAATATCTTATTCTTTAAGATCTTGGTAAGACATTCTAAGATCTTATTTAAGATCTTACTAAGATTTGATGACTCTACTTTCACTTTTGTTTTGCCTTCATGCATCTATATAAGTAACAACGTAAACATAACTGAATTTAACGATATCTTTCTTCTTGCAGACTTTGCTCGTACTTCCTCTCTCAAAATTGTTGAACAAATTTTCAGAGTCTACAATATAAGTCAAGGTACATGATCGGGCACCTGAAAATATAAAATTTCTTTTATTCTTCAAATCTATTCAGTTGGTACTTTGAATAGTGTCGACTGGATATTCAAAAGTTCTTAGTGAATGGTGAATGAATATTATTAAAAAACATAATAGTTCTCAATAAAAAGATTCTGACAGAGTCTCACCCAATCCTGAAAAAATCTTAGGCAAAATAATCTGTATCTTAGTAAGATCTTACTAAGATCTTAGAAAAATCTTATCAAATCTTAAAATTTTTGCGTCTTACGATCTTAGTAAGCTTTGACTAGGTTTCACAGTAGGTAATTTTGACTAGGCACGGGAACATACGCTGTAGAAGTGGTACAAAAGTCTATGAAAACTTTTTTTAGGTTTTTGAACATGCTCTTTACAATTGCGAGATTTTCGATCTCTAGAAAACCACTAAACATATTTTTGGATGTCGAAAATCTCACGATTGGAAAGAGCATATTCGAAAATCTATAAAAAAAAGGTGTTCATAGACTTTCGTCCCGCTGCCAAAACGAATATCCAAATACCGACACAAAATTTGCTGCGATAATGCTCCTACGCTACGATTCAGTTTGATCGAAAAATTTTCTGTAGAAAATGTTCAAATTATACACCATTTGATGGGGTCTTTTGCGCTGATTCCAAATATGACTTTATTTTTCAATAAAAATGTTTCTGAGCCGAGAAAAATGGAAAATACGTTGGAAAACCGATAACTCAGACTAGAATCATTTACGTATCTTTACGCTAACCCTTTCCGGCCGGCTGTTTCGAAAACACAGCAAAAAGTGTTGCCAAATGGCAACATCAGGCTGGAAAGGGCTAACTGATAACACGTGTGAGATATACAAGAACATTGTATGAAAATTTCATCAGATTTGGAACTGTGCTAAACTGTGCGCAGTAACTTTACTGAATACGATGTTTCGAAAAACACTAATGACGAAAGAAATATTTATTTTTTCCCATCGGAAAAGTGTTAACCGAAGATATCCAACCGATTTTCGCGCACAAGTTTTTTCGACGAACTTAAGAGCTGTAAGAAAAAATTTTCCGCCATTAAATCGGCCGTTAACCAAAGTATATTTAACAGTATTCGAATCTTGAAAAAAGCTCACTTTCAATTTTTCACCAAATGTCCACATGATTGCTCACTGTGAGTTTCTCACTAGGATATGACCAGAGTCTTTTCGACAAAATATTGAAATTCTAGAAAGCAGTCGTTTTGTCTAGGAGGATAGGATATAAATAGCTTCATTGAAACACATTATTATTGCTATCAGTTTGAGAACAGAGTAAATGTGTTGTACAAATCTAGTATTTTATTACTATTGCTGTATACTATTGTGTTATTACTAGTATAGTCATTATGATTATAATATTCTTTTTACATTTTTGTTTGGTCAACAGTCAATTTGATTGCATGCATTTATTGACTTATCGTAAACACATATATACACAAAGTCGATATTGGGTGACCGATAGAATTACCGATGATATTACCTTCAATAAAATAAAATTTTTGTCTTGACCTTTCTCATTCATCTATTTTTGTGTAATTTAAGCACGTACACTTTATTGTCTGTGATGTGTATAGTTGCAGATATACAAAAATATGTACAAGATGAAAAAATGGACAAGATAAACAAATATTTATTCAACGTTTAAGCTTTAATCTCACAATAAAATGAATTTCTAGGACTAATTGATTCATCGGATTATAAAGTTAAGTAGTTAATTAGATAGTTTTTG